TATTAATTATTCGTTTGGTTTTAGTTTTGCTATTTTCACTGATGAGTAAAAGCTGCTAAATTAAATCCATGTGAGCTTTTAAAATTACAATAGAATTCTTTGTTTCACTGGCAAATTCATGAATTTAAATATATATTGCACATTCAGTGTTATGGCATAAGAATATGTCCAGAAAAAATGTTATACCCAAATAAATTCCCTTCCAGAAGGGTTACTTTTCTTTGGGGACAGCCTCATCCTCATCTACCTGTTGTCATGACGATGAAGTCTCAGTTTTTCTTTTAGATTATCATCTGTCAGATCATGTCTAGTAATCATTCCAAGAATCTGTAAAACAGAATTGTTTCTGGTTATTGGCCTGTCTGTAATGACATGAAAGTCTGTTCTCATTGTCCACATTGTTAACCGATTCTTGTGGTCTCAACATTTTGTATCCGTTTCTTTTAGGACAAACTGATTTATTAGTACAAAAAAATATTTTGGATATGTTTGGTATTTTCCAATATAAAGCATTTGTCATATGTCCACTGCCAAATAGTTACTGATAGTTGGTTTTAAGTTAGCATGATGTAAATTCCAGCACTCATGGCAGTTTCTCATTTCAAACTTTTCTCTGGTGTATTTGTCACTTTGACATTTGGGTAATTTCTTTGTTAATTATTATTCCAAATATGGTATATATAATTAAGAGTGACATTGATTCAATATTAGTAATAGAGGGTCTGCTTCAACAAAATCAGAAATTTTGTTTGAATACGTTTGCTAATTACAAGTTTTTGAAGGAAATTTAGACTGATATTAATGAGTACGGTTTGTGTGTTTGGTGGTGGCTGGTGAATCTTCTCTCCATGGTGAATATACATCATATATACCATAGCATTGTGAGTTGTATAGTTCTCATGCACAAGTACATATTAATAAAATACATATATCAAAATATTGCATTAAAGGTTTCATTTTTAAAAAAACTGGTTAGGTCTAGATAAAACTTTAGAAATTTGTTTTGACTATGTTATTATGGTGTACCGTAAAATCTGTACTAGAAGCTGCATCCCTAATAGAAGTCGCACACATTCTTTTTGAATAATTGAGAACCAAACATTCATCATTTCTCATATGTGTAGATGCTCTATTAGAAGCTGCATCCCTTCTGTTGCATTGTACTATTTTAATAGAAGCCACGGCTTCTAATACAGATTTTACAGTAATCATATTTACATGAATTAACAGTTGATCCCAATCAGTACAGTAAAGATGCTTCTCACAAGAGATACATTCTTTCATACTGTAAAGCACCAGAATTTTGTTTGGGACTTGTTTTTTGAAAATTTCATTTATTGAGAAAAATCACTAAGTTTGGTAGGAGTGAATATCTCATTTGTGTCCTGAATATAACTTTTCTCGTAGCACAACTTCAGTATTTCTGCTTCAACATTTTTTGTTTTGTTTTTTTGACAGTGGGATAATTTTCAAAGAGGGCCGGCAATTCTAGCTGTGAAGTGTGACACAGGGGATAGCAGTGATGACATGCAAACCATGGAATCGTCCGAGGTGAACGGGAGTAATCCTGAAGCCGACAAGAAATGGATTGATTCTGACATCAGATCACGACCCGAGGCTGACTGGGATTTCTAGCATGATCTCTACAGACTTCTAAATCATCAATTCTTGTCTGTGAGACATTCATGTATTTTACAAAAAAATGTTAGTAATGATTTTCAGTTCATCCCAAGATTCTAAACAATGTAAATATTTGTGTCCATATTATATAACTTGAATGTATAAGGTTACTACAGAGTAAAGTAAATTACAGTAGCTATTGCTTTTACACCCATGGTGTCAAATCCCCCTTATAGACTTCTATAGTGAAGTTGATAACTGACATCAGTTCGTGGTTATGAATTGCCTTGTAACATTGAACAAACTAGATTATCCAGGTTAAATATTGTATATGATTATGAGCAATATTTCCATGCTTAATAATGTGCTGTACGCATTTCGATGCAGTCAATTTCGATGAAGTAAGGGTATTCAAACGCAATATCTCCCTTTCAAAGAGCAGCCTTACGATGTGAGCTACGAAATAAAGAAATTTGAGATCAAAATCAAATCGTTCGATTTTTGCGGTAGAGGTTTGGTGCACGTCTTTCACACAACTCGTGGAACCTCACAGTTGAAGTGAAAATCATGTATAACACCACAGTGTGATGACCAATAGAATAACTGCTCACGAAGAGCAAAAATGGACTTCCATATAAGGTCTCATAAAACTTATTTCTCCAATACCACTGATCACATAAACTAGTATTAGGACAAGACCTTATTAGTTTCACTATGGTTACTTTCTACAGTATATATTATTCACTGACGGCCATCATTATTTAGATTACAATAGCTTAAACAAAACTGCCCTTTTCAGATGGTATGTGTAACGTATTTGCTTTATTAGAAGCGAATACACTTATATAAATGACAGAGGTGATACTATGGTGGAAAGTCTTATTTTAATGATCCAGAATACAATAATAAATTACATTTTTGGTGTACGTGCACTTCCAATAGAGAAAATACTGTATTTACACTAAACAAGCTTTATCATAGTATTTAAGAATGTGCAAAGACGCCATTTTCTTGATGCAAAGAACTCAAATCACAAAATCTTTAATATTTTGTAAGCGTCTTTTAGAGAGGGTGTTATCAGGATTTACATGAATTTTCACCCCAGAAAAGTGCATATGAATAACAAATATTTATGGAAATATTTATAAAATGACAAATATTTATTTAAAATTGAAATACTTAGTGTAAAGTTAGCTTTCTGTGAAAATTGCATGACTATGTACAGTTATTGAAATCTTGTATGTTACACTGCAAACTATTTTATGTCTCAGTTCCGCTCATGAATGGTATTTATAGCATAACCTTTTTACAATTCTCTGAAATATTTTTTGAAATTATCTAAATTATATATGTCGCAAATTTGCATGCTGTAGTGCTTTTTAAACAAAACTAAGTCTTATTTGAGGTCACTTATAATTGTGCTGCACATGTCTATGTTTTTTGTTGATCGACAATAATTTTACCCACACTGCATCAGTTTTCCTTTAAAAACAAAATGGCGCCGAGTTGAGTTCCATGAGTTTGGGTATGAGCAAAATATAAGCAGCATTCCAACTCCTAAATGTTCTAAAAGTTAAATTCTTGCAACTATAAAAGTGTTTGCAGGTGATGAAAAAAAAAACGTAGATTATCCCAATTTTCATAAGCGTTGGTGGCTTTTTCAATCCCAGTGCACTGTGGGAAATTACATCACTTCCTATGATGAGACCCATCATTGAACATTCGCAGCATGGTGATTGTGATGACAACTGGCCTCGCTTGAGATATATGTATAGAACTTTTAAACAATGTGTATTCAAAAGGTAATAAAATAGTGACTATGATATACAATTATAGCCTGTGTCATAATTATGAGATTTTACTATAAAGTGATTTGTGACATCATGAAATGCTTGTTTCTTTCTGCATATAGGTATTACCATTTCTGAGCCGGTACATTTCTGTTTTCATTATTTGAATCTAGCGAGATCATTAACAAATATTTTTGTGCTCAACAGTTTGGATCTGAATAATTTATGTCATGCTATCTGTAGTTCTAATCTTTGCAAAATTTTGACCCCTGGCAAGGTTTTAAAACAATGTGCAAGCTCAAGGAAAAACAAAAGAATTCAGAATTACTAAAGAAAATGCACGTAATCATATTAAAAATCATGTTAATCATATAGGCATTTCTTTATATCTTAAAGAACACAAAAAAGGTAATTGAGTTTACCCTGTGTTTGCGTGTCTGTTTGCGTGTCTGTCTGTGTGTCTGTTCCATAGGTATCTCAAAAGCGATCATGGCAATGTAGCAGAAAGTCAGTCCATGAAACTGAAATGTGATTAGATTTTTGATACAAATATTTGAATATTTACATTCAGTTGTTGACATGATTGGATTTTGTTACACAATCATTGTCGCAAAACATATTTGAATATATACTAGTAGCTTCGCGGTAAGTGGGTTTCGTATTGGGTGGGTCTCGCTGGGAGTAGGGCTTTGTCGCAGTAACTGGTCCTTTCATCGTTGTTGAGAATTAAAGTTTTATGTTTCTTTAACAACTTGCGCTATTCTGGGAATTAATGTGCCCTTATGATTTGTGCAGTTGCTCTGGCAGGAGTTCTAAAATAAGACCCATGCTCTGATAATGCCTCTAGTTTCAAAGACCAATAAACATTAGCATTATGATTTTATCGGTGTTGTAAAGGATAGTTGAATATTGTTTATTAAAATTAATAATCACCAAAACCGTTTTCCAATACAGATAAATTATAGTACGTAACAAATATATAACTCGGTTTCATCAATGAAATAAAGAACTGTATATATATATTTACATTATTACTAATGCATTGCAATACAACTAATTAAAATTGAAAGAAATTGCAATATAATGTCGAAATCGCGAAACTCACTCTTTTTATGCAAACTGGGAAGTTCAAATTACTAAACGAAGTACAAGACGACGAAGATAAAATATCCATGAATCAACACATACCAAAAATTATATCTCAAAAATGAACATTCATGGTGTATTTTAAGTCTAACCGAACCAGAAGTGGAAATTTTTTAGTACTTTAAATATCCAAACATATTTTAGTATAAGGTAGTAATTAAATCTCTCCATATTCTATTTATAGTTCTATGACCTTTGAACTTACCTCCCCAATACTGCTTATAACAATTATATGCCTGAGTCCCATGGTACGAAATAAATTATAAACATGAGGTACTGGTGTATGAGCCGACACCGTGTAAGGACATGGATTCATGTACGGTGTAACATCCTGGGGAAAAAGAATCAGTGAATGGTTATACATTGTAACACATATTGAAGTGATGTACATTAATATAAGAATCTACCACATTATTGCATGCATATTTCAACAGTGTAATGTAATACAGAACTCCATATCACCAACGTTTGAACGAAGCTTTCATGTTTAATGTTTGGCCGGATCTTTCATGTTTGTCCATAACTTTCAGGTTTGACCATAGCTTCCATGTTTGGCCGTAGCTTTCATGTTTGACCATAGCATTCATGTTTGACCATAGCATTCATGTTTGACCATAGCTTTCATGTTTGATCATAGCATTCATGTTTGACCCTAGCATTCATGTTTGACCCTAGCATTCATGTTTGACTCTAGCATTCATGTTTAACCATAGCATTCATGTTTGACCATAGCATTCATGTTTGACCATAGCATTCATGTTTGACCTCAGCATTCATGTTTGACCATACCATAGCATTCATGTTTGACCATAGCATTCATGTTTGACCCTAGCATTCATGTTTGACCCTAGCATTCATGTTTGACCCTATCATTCATGTTTGACCATAGCATTCATGTTTGACCATAGTATTCATGTTTGACCATAGCATTCATGTTTGACCATAGCATTCATGTTTGACCAATAACTACGGTCTCTGTATATTGACAAATATATGTTATTTTCAGAATTTGTATGTTTACGTGAATCAGAAACCTTGTCAAATTTGTAGCCTATTTGAAATTATGTCTATTTGGTACAAAAGTAACAAAGAAATTGTAGAAACCTAATGTTGCATGAAAGTTTTGATGAAAAAAATGATGACATTCAAGAGTTACTGTCACCGACATATGTTCTGAAAACCAAAACGCAAACAGTGCCATCTAAGTTGCTGACTGATTTGCCAAGAGGGTCTTATATTGATATGTAATTAGAACTGGTAAGGTTGAACCATTTTTTGGACCAGTGAATGTGTCCTAACATTACAGTCATGCATTTTGATTGGATAACTTTGCCATTCATCATATGGCAATTTATTTGATTGATTGAAATAATTGAAAGACAATCAATCGCATTGTAATCTTCTGTTCATATTTAATGTGTCCGAGTCCCTTACCATCAGTTTGATGTCAACCATTGAGGTAGGTTGACCTAACTTGTAATGAGCTTGGGTCAGGCATAGCAAACCAGTCAGCAACTGAGCTGCCAATGTTGCTGTCCGGTGTTCAGAACAATATGGCGGTGACAGAAGGCAGCAAAAAGCCAAGCATTGTTTGTGTTTGAACATTTTTGTTCAAAGATTTCTAAAAATATCACAATCAAGGAATATTTCACTCACCATAATCATCCTTGGATTTATTTGTGTTAAATCTAAATCATAAATATCCGGATATCGAGGATAATCTTCGGTCAAGTCATCATAAGTGAGGTGTGGCTGGCAAGAACTCTAAAAAAAAAAGTGCATACATGATATGAAAAAAAAACATAATTTCGATAAAACAGTTATAAAACAGATTTATCAGATCCATTGTAAAACCATTTATTTTTACTGGCTTTTAGTTTCACTATTTCGATATTGTGAGCATTTTACTGGGTTTTAAGTTCACAAACTTGGCAAGAAAACAATGATTTTATTTGTGATTATGGATTTAATGTAGTAAACTTTATCAAACCATGAAATATTACATACTCACCATTGTACTTTCTGGATAATATATTCTATTGTTTAACAATGTAACTAGCTGTGATCGTAATATCAAACCATGAAATGTTACATACTCACCATTGTACTTTCTGGATAATATATTCTATTGTTTAACAATGTAACTAGCTGTGATCGTAATATCAAACCATGAAATGTTACATACTCACCATTGTACTTTCTGGATAATATATTCTATTGTTTAACAATGTAACTAGTTGTGATCGTAATATCAAATCATGAAATGTTACATACTCACCATTGTACTTTCTGGATAATATATCCTATTGTTTAACAATATAACTAGCTGTGATCGTAATATCAAACCATGAAATGTTACATACTCACCATTGTACTTTCTGGATAATATATTCTATTGTTTAACAATGTAACTAGTTGTGATCGTAATATCAAACCATGAAATGTTACATACTCACCATTGTACTTTCTGGATAATATATCCTATTGTTTAACAATGTAACTAGCTGTGATCGTAATATCAAACCATGAAATGTTACGGCTTTATATTCTTCTTCTAATGGACGATTGTCATCAGGATAGTATGCCTTGTATGGTTCTGGGCGACTAAAACATAATTTGATTTGATTAATGATTTGCAGTCACTTGAACCTATTTCACCCATGAAATTGTTTGTCTTTAATTGTTGTCGAAGTACAGCATAGACTAATTCTTTAGC